ATGCTCCTGGCGGGAACTTAGAGAAGATGCTGTTCTTCTATCTGTGACCCTAGGACTTGCGTATGACCTTTGTTAACCCCGGCCTCACGGGATACGAAGGATCGGACCATCGAAGCGTATAGCGTTGAGGACGCTCAGACTACTCTGACGGAGTCCCTAGAATGCGTGAGAAGTGACGGATGGGAATGGATAGTGGTCGGTGGTGCCTATACGATGGCGTCCTTTACCGAAGGCAGTCTCCTGTAGGGGGTGGTTAGCAATTTCACTTTAAACAAAACCGCGGCCGGAGCGTATCCGGAAGTTCTTACGCTGGAGGAGCCCCAATACTCTGAGAGATAGTGGCCTTCTCTATCTAGGGAGTGCGTGGGAGACTAAGCTGATGCATTTCAGCCACCCTTGACGCGCGGCATACGTCTGATGTACAATGCAGACCCGACCACTCGGAATGAGCGAGCGGAGAGTGATGAGGTTCGTCTCGGCCCCTCTGGGCTGGGACAGCTTCTACACCAACGCTTGCGGCTGTAACACACATTCAGTCGTGAGCGGAGGTGCGTCATCTCATCTTGAGAACCAAAACGTCCAGTAAGGCCTTGAACCAGGTACGGACGTTAAAGATCCTCATTATCCTTTTAAGGACGACCGAGAATTTGGGAATGCTGCTGTAAGCCGAAACGCAGCGACATCTAAACCCTTGAGAAAGTAGACGGACCTAGTAGAGTGATGTGTGCTGATCACTATAACATGTATTCTCCACTTTAATACCCTTTTGGTATTATTTATTTCCTAGTATGAATATATTAAATAATTATTCCAGTTTTATTTGAATGCCACGTACCATGCTGGGTGGTGATTGTATCAGGTCTCAGGTTTTTTACGTAAGTGCATAGCGTTGGATCTTCATACAACAACATTTGTAAAATAGTACAAATAATGAAGATTAAGAAAAACAATTATTTATTTCAACTATTCATAAAAACAACGTAAATTTTTTGACATAATTGAAACTACTAAAAATACTATTAACATGAATTTGCAGTAACTCTTAACAGGCGTGAATTATTCGACATCACATTTTCTTGAGAAAGGAGACGAAAACGTCCTGGAAGTAGTCGAGCCAGGTGACAATCTGGATTTACTACAAATTAGTTAAACCAAGGGGTTCTTAGGGAAAAGGAAAAAATCCCGCCAGATGTTTATTCCAAAGGTGAAAAGAGAAACGCGTTCTTTTCCCATTCTTAAAACGTAAACGGAAATACACTTTCTTGTCCAATGATTACCGAGAAGTTGTTTTTCTACAACAGCACGTCTATATTATACACGAGAAACCAGAACAAATTTACACCGTCGAGCTAAGGCACTTTGTATTTGTTTAAATTAGAATTTTTAAAATTTACAAAACCACAATTTCTCAAAGGTCGGGTGATGAAATATTTATTGAACTTTTTCAATTTCACTGTTTTCTTTTTGGAAAGTTCAAGCAGCAGACAAATATCACAATTCGGTCCGGTGTTCGCTATTTCCAGGCTGAAACGTTTCAAACCACCTTCGGACCTTGGCCGCTCATTAATTAATCATTTCCTACTGGCTTTTGAAATTAATTTGCCCGATATAGCATTGTTTAATTATAAAAGTGTACATCCTCTGTTTCTAACATGACCTTATAACAGCAAACCAAAACTCAAATTTCATTGAAAAACTCTTTTCAGTTCAGACAGGGAATTTAACATAAAAATTTCACTAGCTATAGGTATTCAGATATCGTGAGATGCGGTCGGGTGTGATGTAGGTTTCAGAAAAACATTTTCTTTATCGTGTCAACGTTTCGATCTTTTATTGAGATCATCTTCAGGGCCTGGGATTTACAAACAATGTTTCCATTTAACAACTACATTTAGGATGTGGAAAAGTGAATTTATACAATGCATATTTTATATTCAAACAAAGTATTTCTACTCACTCAAAGTGTTTGTCTTCTGTGTAATTGTGCCATTCTTGCGTGTCGTGTTGAGAGTGCCAGTGAGATTTTTCTGTTTTATGTTTATATATGTTTGGTATTGAAGGGGTGGGGAATGAAGTCGGTATATAAAAGACAATTTTGTGTAAGGCGTCGGCTTCTTTGAAGTGAAATAAGCCGACAAAGGGGAACAATGTGTTGGTAACAGTTCGGCCAGATTGTCCTTTCAGGATTATATAGAAAGGGGATAAATAGGAAAAGGAAAGCTAAATTGTTGGAAAATTAGACTATGTGAAAAGTATTTGATGTGTGGAATGTAATGTGATGATATAGGTATGTTATCTGCATTGAATTTGATTAATGATATTGGCGTAGCTGCGACTGAGTTTACATGTATCTGTTCTGTAATTGATGCTGTGTTTATCTCAGTTTCTTGGTTTTTGGTACCAATCTGTGATTAATGTGCCATCTGGTTGTTTTATTACATTTTTAGATACACTTGTAAAGATCCCCAACCAATATCAGAAAGCCAAACTTTTTCCCCGCCAGTATCCACTTACTATTTCCTAGCAGACTTCTTTTCTCCTTTCTTTTTAGAAACATTTTATTAAGTGTTTATTTAGGGTTTGTGAATGAATGCGGCTGTGACCTGGCTGAAAGGAGGCTCTCAAATACCGTTTATTGCCTCCAATCGGCAATATCCCTCTCCTCGAAGCTTGCACCTCTTCTTTTATTTAAAGTCCTACGAGCAGAAGTACAACGGGAAACATTGTTTCGGCTATGGCCAAAACTACTGTGATAAACGACGAAACGATAAATTTGGAGTTATAAATTTGTAAGGGATTTTCAACATTTTTCAGTTTGAGGTCAATGTCCATACATCCTACACGGCAATTTTATGATTTTTGCGTTGAATTTTGGAATTACGCACATTGACGGTTATTTATTTAATTATTGCGGATTCTTGGTGTTATTGACCAACCTGGACATTTTCCAAAATTTGTACGAGATTTTCAAAATTTTTTCAATTTGCGGACAAAGTCGATACGTTCAACACTGCAATTTTATGAGTTTTGCGTTGTATATTGTAATTTTATTACATGCATTGACAGTTATTTATTTAATTATTCCAAATGCTTGGTATTATTGAACAACCACCGCAGTCCGCTAAAAACAGTAAACCGCAGTAAAAAGCATGATTAAAAGAAAGTAGCAACGTCAAAGTGCCGGATGGCAGAGAAGCTCTCGTTGGTGGCTCTAGAAGCTGACTAGCCTCACTAATAGGACACTAAATGATGACACGGAAACTTAATTTTAAGACAAATCCTGCATATACGTCCAGCATGCAGAGAAAGGTTGCTCGATGTATAATATAACCAACCTCGAAGAGTGTATTTCCTTGGTTCCGTGCAGAAAGCGTGTAGGAATGCCACCCAATATGAGCATGAGGGTTATTTTATTGTAGTAATGATAGTTACGTGTTCCAAGCGTGGGCTGTGAGTGAATGTATTTATTAGTGTGAATGTGTAGTGTGAGAGGGGTCGATGGATATATTCCATCGACCCTCAATTATTTCAGTTATAAATAGGTGTGATGGATGTTAGAGGAATATCGAGTATTCTACCACCCTAACTGAGTGATTGGTATTAAATAAGTAAGAATGTGAGTGTGAAGGAATTTAGAGTTAGGAACTGAACATGTTAGGTGCTGAAATGGCCTATCCGTTAACAGCATTCCAATCTCGGAGGCTACGGATAAGACCGAAGTCTGACTTCGGATTGAAAAAGCACAAAAAGAACGAAAACACCACGAAGGTCGGTGATGTCCTCAGCTGATATTCGGTCTATAAACCTCTCAATTTAATGTACAATTTAGCGATACTATCACTGTAGATGGCTAAACGTTGAAACACGCCTGTTTGTCCCAATCAACGAGAATTGATTTGGTCTAGTTAACCTAATTGAAACTGGTTCGCCGGCAAGAGGTTTTTTGGTTTTTAAGGTTCACCATGGTCATTTTTTCTTTAGTATATGGAGCAAAGTAATCATATTAAATTTAACGTCTGTACTATCAAATTCACTATTTTTTTCTCTCGGAACTGCTTGGGTGCTGAATTGACTAGCTGCTCACAGCACCACGTAGCTGGACGGATAAGACCGTCGTCTGACCCAGGACTGCCAACACTCGAGGTGGGTGATTCTCGAGGTCTGCCGGTAATTACAAAAGCTGGAATTCCCAGTGGACTATGAGAAATGTACTCTCAACTCTCCAAATGTTTATATATACGTATATTCAAATGCGGATTTGAGCTTATACAAATCCAAATCCAAATCCAACTACATAGAACATGTAAGATATAAATATTATTAAATTTATTATTATTCAGAAATCGTGAGATGCGGTCTGGTGTGATGTAGGTATCAGAAAAGCATTTTCTTTATCGTGCCAACGTTTCGATCTTTATTGAGATCATCTTCAGGGCTCAAAGGGTTTGTCTTCTGTGTAATTGTGCCATTCTTGCGTGTCGTGTTGAGAGTGCCCTGAAGCAAGAATGGCACAATTACACAGAAGACAAACACTTTGAGCCCTGAAGATGATCTCAATAAAGATCGAAACGTTGGCACGATAAAGAAAATGTTTTTCTGAAACCTACATCACACCAGACCGCATCTCACGATTTCTGAATAATTATCGATTAACGGTCACTAATCACCACACATTAAATTTATTATTATCATTTCTATCAAACAACAATTATCTAAATTGTGTAAATCTAACCAAGAGAAAATCAGCTATAATCAAAAAACATAAGTTTAGAGTTAATAAGCGTATGTTTTAGAGGGCAGAGAAAAATTTAAAAAAATCAAATTACTATATTGCCAATATTATAATCAATTATTTAGCAAAATATACAAATAAATAAATAAATATTGTTAATTGGGTTTATTCGATTATTACGTTAATGTTGTCAGTGTTATTTGTTGACCTTAAGGCTCAGTTCTAAAGGTGGAGAAACTTGAAAAACAATACAAAATTAATGAGATACCTGGGATGCTTCTTTCAGCGGGAGGTGAAAACGGAATTTCTTGACGTCCTCGTTTTTCTTGTGCTCTTCTCTCAGTCTGTAGCAGTTGCTGCAAAATTCTTTCTTCCAGGCGTTCTGTTTGAATCTCAAGCATACGCCAGTAGGCATTCTGAAAGAAAGACCAAAACTAGCAATCGTGCGAGGCAAAAAAAAAACTTGTCAATGGTGAAAACAAACAAATAAATAGCGGAGCTAAAAATGATAAAGTGCCTGTTACGTTTTTATCGATAAAACCAATATTTGTATAATTCGATCAAAAACCGACCAGCACTCTTGGCAAATATTCTTCATTTATTGCCAATAGAAATTTTCAAATTGAACACACTTTTGACAATCATTGAAGGCAGCTGTAAGATCCTAGATTTATATCGAACAAGGTCAAAGAAAATAACTGAACAAACATACAAATTAGGAATTTAACCTTTACAGCCTAAATAATCTAATCTTCAAATAAAATATTAAAACAGAACAGAATGAGGAGAACTGTTTAGTCTCGTAGTTTTGCGTATATTTCTTGTACTCTTATTTTTATTTATACTTATTGTACATACACTCACAGGGAAAAAATTCCTTGTAATATAACTTGATTTGTATATATTAATCAAAGTTTCAGGTTTTTTAACGTTTAATAATTGAGTCTTTGTCCAAAAAAGTAAAAAATAGTAAACTGCTAAGGAAAATTAAAAATGAAAAAAAAAAGACGGACAGATAAAATTTGTTTTAATTTTGTTCTAGATTTTTAATTCAAAAACTTCAATACACTTTATACTTAAATATGGCGTATTTCCTCCACTTGTCTTAATTCCACCTCGAAGACGGCTCGGCATACTTTCTACCAGCCTGGAAATGACTCTTTGCTGGAGGTTAGCCCATTCTTCACGAATAGTACTTTCAAGATCGTTGAATGTATCAGGAAGTGATAAACGTGCTCTTATTCGGCTTTTGAGGTTATACCATAAATGTTCGATGGGCTTCAAGTCTGGAGAACGGGCTGGCCAGGCTAAAACCTTGATGTTAGGCTGTTGAAGGTACGTTTGTACTATGCGAAAGCTATGTGGACGGGCATTATCGTGCATAAGAATAGGATTTCATCAAGGATAGGCATGATGTTCGAAAATTTAATCCACATAGCGAGTGAACGTCAAAGGTCTTCCACGAACAAGGCTCTCTATTGAAATTCAATGAGCTACGTTGAAGAGGTTGGCTCTGGGAAAAATTGCAGTCTTCATACCTTTCATTTCACCTTCTCCACACTCTTTCACGTGGATCTGAAGATCGTAGAGCAAATCTTCACTTAACAGTGCAAAGTACAGCAGACCAATCGTCCAAAGATCAATGGCTGAGTTCTCGAGCAAATGCGAGCTGCGCAACTCGTGTGTTGTGGTCAATTCTGGTCCTCTTACGGAGCGAAAAGCCACAGGGCAAATTTTCCATATTGATTTATTCTTCTTCGAGCAGTGCGTTCAGAAATTTGGGCATCTCGAACTTCCTGGAGCTGATGAATCGCTTGGACAACAATAAGGTGCCGGTTTTGCAAAATTCTCAAAGTCAAAAAACGGTCATCCTGTGGTTCTGTTACTCTAGAGCGTCCAGAACCTGGCCTTCTATGGTAGGACTCAGTTTCTGGAAAATGTCTCGCAGGCCTTAGAGAACTCCGATGGCAATAGCCGCATAACTGATGGAACGTCCATCATCAATAAATGCCTCACCACGCGCAGCATCCTCAGCACTAAGTGGCATTATTCAGTTTACAAATTGAAATTAAGAAAAAAATAGATGAAATTTAAACAGTTTATTGCTGCAGAATTCAAATGAGTCTGAATAAACATTTTAAATTCCGTAAAAAGTAAACAATGAAAAATCCTTTATGCTTGTTTTGGATTAAGGATTAAGTGTGTTTACCTCTAATTGATATTCCAAATTTAAAACATAGCTTAATCAAATATTTATTGATAAAAACAATGAGACAAATTAAGGGCAGATTTTTATTTTATCGATAAAATGAAAAAAAATCAAATGGGTGGAATTTTTCGATGTATTGGGTTGTCCGGAAAATAATGCAGGTTTTTAAGTTTTCATTAAAAAAAATCTATATAAAATATTCTGTTTACGTTTACAGGATTACTCATTTGTATGAATGTCAACACTTATTAATCCTCTTCCAAATGATATTGTTTGTTTACCTCTGTAGCATTCCGCTACTTGGAAATAATTCAGTCATCCTTATAATGTCAAAGCGAGAATTTCGTACGATTTTCTTTTACGAGTTTAAACTCGGCCGAAGCGGAGCCCAAACGGCTAGAAACATTAACCAAGTCTGGGGCGAGGGTTGTGTTAATGAGTGCACTGTGCAAAGGTGGTTTAAAAAATTTCGGGAGGGAGATTTCAGCCTTGAAGATGAAGAAGGTCGTGGAAGGCCTTCCTCTCTTAATGATGATGTTCTGCGATCAGTGGTGGAAGAAAACCCCAAAACAACTGTTCGAGAACTTGCAGAGCAACTCAAAGTCAGTAAAACGACCGTCGCTGACCACCTCAAGGCGATTGGAAAAGTGAAAAAACTCGAAAATTGGGTTCCACACTCATTAAACGATCGCCAAAAAAATCAGCGCTTTGATGTTTGTGCATCACTTCTTTGTCGAAACAAAAATGACCCATTTCTGGCCAGAATTGTTACATGTGACGAAAAGTGGATTCTGGACAGTGGCTCGACAAAGGAGAAGCTCCAATACATTTTCCAAAGCCCCCAACTCATCAAAAAAAGGTAATGGTTACGGTATGGTGGGCTTCATTTGGTTTAATACACTACAGCTTCTTAAATCCTGGCGAAACCATCAATGCTGAATCATACTGTAACCAAATTAATACCATGCATCAGAAATTGGCAGTAATGAAGCCCTCTTTGGTCAATCGGAAAGGGCCCATTTTGTTGCATGACAACGCTCGACCACATGTGTCACGTGTAACGTCACAAAAATTATTGGAGCTTGGCTATGAAACTTTGCCTCACCCACCCTACTCTCCGGACCTCTCGCCTACTGACTAACATTTTTTTAGACACCTGGACCACTACTTACAACACATAATATTCAAAAATCAAACGGAACTGGAAAATGCATTTATTGACTTTATCAATTCTAAAAATTCTGAATTCTACTCAGACGGAATTAATAAGTTACCAACACGTTGGGAGAAATGTATTGAGAGTATGGGAAATTATTTTGATTAAAGAACATTGCTTTAAAGTAACTAGTTTCTTTTTTTTTTGTTTAATACCAAAATCCTGCATTATTTTCCGGACAACCCAATATATACAACAACGAGAAAATTATATTTTTGAAGGGTACAATAACATCTCGTATAACAAATGAAAATTGGGTTCCTTTAACACAATCAGTACAATAATAATGGAATATTAAGGGCAAGGCAAAATTTTCCAATTATTTTCTACTGAGCAACAAAGAACAATGCACATAATTAAAGATGGAAACGTTTTTAATTCACACAGTGTCTAGGGAAAGATGAGATGTTAATTCGTATTAATCAAAGTCAATAAACCCAAAAATGGAATGGACCACTGGCGTGAAAATCAGTAATTAATTTTCTCATTGGAATTAGCGTTCACGTTGAGACGTTTTTGTAGGATATTTGTGTGAGAACCATCGAGAGTTGATGGACGTCTTCCTTCCTAGAGCCATTTCGATCAAGTGCGCATACGCCAAAAAAAAATCTTTCGGACACGGTTTTAAACCGAAATCGGTGGAAAGACGTAAAACTAGCCACCGTGAAAGAAAACAATTAGAAATTTCTAGGACAATCGACTGTATGAGAAAGCCCTTGGCAATTTAATTGGCAGTTAGGCATCAGTCAAAATTACAACGCCGAGTCATAATAGAAGTATCGGTCAGCCTTTTCCCAACACCAGGCCGAAAGTTTTAACAGGAAAGGCCTCTGCAGTTTGCATAATGACACGCGTATTGTGAAAAACCGGCGGTTGTAAATACGGAAAGGCATGGAAACTTTTATTACAGTTGATTTATTATCAGACAGGTATAGATTTGTAAAAGCCAGCATAGCAATTTTTACGATTAAGACTGATCCAATTTATATTTTTCAACACAAATTTCTGTACTTCTCGTATATTTAGCACATACCTATCCACATCGATAGAATAGTAAATTGGAATAATTATAAACTAATGTTTTTCTAGTAAATTAAGTTAGTTGGATATATAAATCGGTAAAATATTAAAAGCAGAGTGCCTCATTGTTTCATGGAGTTGGCAAATCGGCCCTAGGGCATAAACTTTGGCACATTCACCATGGAGCAACAACAGATTTCCATACTGTTCGTGCGGAACTTCTCTTCTTCTTCTCAAATTTTTTTCTTTCACACCGTGTGATGAAGACGGGGGTATTTAAGAAAAATCATCCTTCTAAATTAACACCCTTGACGGGTTTTTTTGCAAATGAACCGCCGAGAAAAACATTGAGAACCGTATCGACAAATTTAATCAAAACACTCTTATAGTATTTTAAAATAGGCTTACGGATATTTTATTTCGGTTGTTTTTGTATAAAATCCTTAATGAGCTACTGAATCATGTCAAGAAAGGGATGAAATGCACCCTTGGTTAGTGTTCAACAATCAGTTCAACAGAGTAACAACTGTTTTATTTTTTGTGTTGTAGTCTACGAGGTGATGAACCTTCAGCTTAATTCAATGAATTAATCATTATGTAAAGTACTGGTTGAGATGAAAAAGTTAGTGTTACGAGCGGGATTCGAACCCCACGACCTTCGGCTAAATACGCCGCTGCTCTACCACTTGAGATACCGTGACCTCGATCCACTCGGACACCAACTTCGGGACACTGACTTTTTCATTTCAACCAATGCCTTACATAAAGATTAATTAGTTGAAAGAAGTTATTTGGTCAATCGGACCACGAAATATAACAGATTTAATAAGTAAAACGAAGTATATCTTCACTAAAGCTCTCCGTGGCCATTTCATTTGTCGTCGAGAATCCAATCCGATTACACATTTGAAAAATGGCAAAAAGGAGGGAAAATTCGAAAATTGGGTTGAGATGGGGAGTTGGCGTCCGAG